TGTTGCCGCCAAGTGTGGGACATTGAGACTTGCAGGAGGGCCATAGATGGTCAGCAGCACCAACTGCACATCCATTTGGGCATCCAGCTTGGTATCATTGGCCAAGGCACTGCCACCTTGTAACACCTGCTGCAGATACACAGGGAAACCATATACTTCACACAAATACTCCTTCGACGCTGCTGCATCCTCGCACACCGCGGCATTCTCGACTGCGAGCTCTTGCCCAGAAGTTCTCCAAATGCGAGGCATTCTGGAAGCGGCCGGCGACGGATGATCCTTTAGGGACTTTTGTACTTGGAATAGGGTAATAGGGTGTATCCTGGTAGGCTGCGACAGGGACCGAAGGGCACAGCATTTAACGCAACCTGCAACCGTCTTATGCACATGCTTGCTGCGTTGATCATCTGTCTCGCGGCAGATAGTGCTACGATGCTTTACGGACAACAAGGAAATGCTTCTTGTCTAGGGGTGCGATATGTCATGGTATAGGTCATACAGTCTTGTCGGCATTCTGAAGTAGCCCTTGACCGCTAAAATCCCTGCGACAGTTCTGAAGTTCTGACGGTTTCCTTGGCCTTACCACCTCATACAGTGATGCGTACATGCCCACGAAGAGCGCTAGGTTCATGAACTACAGAATGCAAGCTCTCACTTTGCCAGAGGTATGTGGTGGTATGGCACAAGCAGCCTCTGGGTTGAAATCGGTGTTCCACTCGCACTCGAACCTGTACAGTTTCGAACCTACAAGACCCTAAACCCACCAAGAAAAACAAACGACTCCTCCCCGAACCCTTCTTCCTCAACCCCCAGAAGGCCCTCCCAGATTGGCCGTCAACTACAAGTCTTAGATGGATCCTAAAACTCTCAAACTCTGAATCGAAACCCAGCCTAGAGCTCTGAACCCCAGATCCCCCCTAGCCGACCTGAAATTGCATAGTACCTTAAGCCCTGTGCCTCTGGATCTCGAAACCCGAAAGCCCTTGAAAACACCCTAAACCCTAAACCCCTAGACTCTGAAACTCTTATACCCTTATAGACTCCCTGTAAAGGAACCCTATTCGAATTGTAATGGCCCCTAATAGACACTTTAAACTCTGAAACTCCTAGGAATCTCCAACAGCTACCCTATATAGAAATACTTTTACCCATGAGCAACTTCACCATAACCTCAAACCCCCCAAAGCCCGAAACCCCAACTAAACCCTCAACCCGAAACCCTTAAGCCCTAAACCCCCAAAGCCCCAAACCCCTGAACCCAAAACTGGGCTGCCAGGCCGGATCCTGGGAACTGCTGCTGCCTCCCGGACTACGGCTGGAGGCTCAGAGGGCTTCGAGTTTGGAGGTTTGGGGGTGAGGGGGTGAGGGTTTTTAGGGGTTTAGGATTTCGGGTTTCGTGTTCAGGGTTACGGGGTTTAAGGTCGAGGGGTATTGTAAGTCTGGGGCTTACGGGGTTTTTTGTTGAGGGTTTAGGGTTCATGGGTGAAGTTTCAAGGGTTAGGGGTCAGAGTGTGGTGTGTAGGGTTTAAGGTTCAGGCCTTAAGGTCCAGGCTTCAGGCCATAAGAAGGTTTCCGGAGGTGCCTTACTAAATTGAACAGGGCTGCGTGAAAGGGTTCCTTAAAGGGTCTCTGTTGAATGGTTCTCTCTAGAATCTAGAATATTTGGGTGGGTTTAAGGTACATCGGGGCCTTCATCATGGTTATTACTAGGTTTTCCGGCTTCTAAACTACCGCTGGAAGCCTCAGAACGGCTCTTCCGGGTTCCTCTAGGGGCCACGATGACACTACAAGGCTTGCCACCAGGAACTGCAAGGGATCTCAGGTTCACGGTGACGTCTCTGTAGGGGTTTAAACTCACAACCACAAGGACAAGAATTCTCGTGAGCCTTTGAGGTGGGAGTCTGTGGGCGCTCTCTTGGGATGTTGTAGGGTCTCGCACAGGCAGAAGCTGTGCGGGCTATCGGGTTTCTATAGAAGCTCCAGGTTTCGTGTTGATGGAGGGCTTATAGCTTCGCGGCTTCTAGGGTAACATAGGGTTTCCATGGGGGCTTTGGGAGTTCAAGGTTGTAGCTCCAAGCCTTCTGGGCTTAAATTTGTTCGAGCCTGAGAGAGAGACTAAGAAGGTTGAAAGCTTTGGGTACTGCTCGTTTCGAAAGGTTCCTTTCAACCCTAAAGCTAGGAAGCCCGAAATCCGGAACCTTCATAACTCTAACTCGTAAGTACGCCCTGATTTCTTAACCCCGGAGTGAGTCCTATGTCATGTTTAAATCTTAAGCCCTCAAGCCTGAGACCTAAAAACCCCGAGTGCTAAACCCTAATTCCTGATCCCTGAATCCTAATCCCTAAACCCGAATCCCAAAACCCTAATCCCTAAATCCTAATCCCTAAAACCTAATCTCTAAAACCCTAATCCCTAAACCCTGATCCCTAAAACCTAATCCCTAAAAGCTACTCCCTAAACCCTCATCTCGAATCCCGAAGACCTTAGAAACCCCTGCCTCCATGCTCCACGAAGAGCTGCGACATGGAGACCTTTCCCGGGGGAGCCTCAGAGCATCCCAAAAAAGTCACTCGGAGCACTCTCGGAGGACTTCTTGAAATTTGGGGTTTTAGGGAGTAGGGGTCGGGTTTAGGGTTTACTGTAAGGCGGCGGGTTTAGGCGGGTTTAGGGTTCAGGGTCCAGGGTTTGGCTTTACGGGCTTCTAAGGTTGTACTACGTACCGCTTGCTACTTACTGTTTACTACATGCTATCAACTGCCTACTACTACCACAACGACGACTACGACGACTACGACTAGTCACCCGCGACTACTACGGCGACGGCGACGACTACTGCGACTACTCACTGCTGGTGCTGGCACTACCACGGCGCCGATGGCGAGTGATGCCATTACTACCAATGACAGTCTACATGACTGCGCCCTTCACCCTCAACCTCAAATTCTTAACCCAAGGCCCCGGACCCACAACAACAGACCGAGAATCTTCCGATAGTTAGGATCTATGGAGCCCGAGTTGCCCTCTGTCAAGGAATGTCCTTCGAGTATCTTAACGCTTCTTACTAGGACTTTCGGGCTATTCCTTACACAGACCACTGGGCCCGCTTGGTAATGTAGGAAGAGCCTTTGGGGGTGTACTATACTAGAACTCTGATAGGAACCACAAGGCGCGAGGGGTGCTCTTCTCAATTACTTCGACCCCTCAAACTACACACGCTAGATAAGAACAGTAGGAACAACAGTAGTCATCATGATACCTGTAAAGAGTATCAACCATAAGACTGGTTAATTACTCATACGCATCCTTATACTACTGCTAACACTCTCATCTCATTCATAGATGCTCATTCTCATACGAATACGAACGCGCATGCTACTAGTACTACTACGAGTTCTAGCACGAATACGATGACAAAGATTCGCACTTAGACCCAGCAACAGTAGTAAGAACAGTATATAGTAGAGAAACAGTACTAGTAATCGACGCAAATCAAAGTAATTAGTAGTAACAGCGAGGGAGCAGGGTCGCATGTGCGCTGTTTTCAGCGTGGGCTGTGCGCCGGCGCTGCTGCCGAAAACCCAACTCAAGGTCTCGGGCTTGGGGTTGAGGGTTTTTTTTAAGTGCAGTGATGGAGCTGATGGTTTAGGGTTCGGGGTTTACTGGAACGGATGCTACAAGGGCTAAGGGGCGCTTACGGATTGGAGCCATGGGTAAGGTTTGTTCAGGGATTGAGGGTTGAGTACTCTTGGAATCTTCAGCAAGACCCTGACTCCTGCAGGCTCCCTCAATCTTAAACTATGAAGTCAGCCTACCGCGCACATAAACAATAAAGATCCCAAACCTATGATAAGCCCGGAACCCTATCCCAAACCCGAAACTCGAAACAGCACTCCTGCTTCTGGCCTAACAACTGCCCCGCAGACGGCAAAATCGATTTCGAAAATCGCGCAAGGTCCGATGGGCGCGCATGAAGTGGACACAAACTTAAGCAAGTTGGTAGTGTAGTCCCTTCTCAAGCACTTTTCCAGAGTTTGGGTCTGGATGCCGCACCGCGGGGATGTTCATGTCAGAAGGGATAGCAGCTTGTTCTAGTTGCAGCGCTTTTGTTAAGGCGACTGGTATTAGGGTTTAAGGTTTGGGTCATCCTTTTGAGTTTGACTGAACCTTTGTCACATCAGGCACGCATCCTGGAGCAGCACTGTTCAAGACCTTGGAAAATCATGAGTCTCTGAAAACAGGCGGCACGAGTATACGGCCCAAAAAACACGATCCCGAATCGATTAATATAAGAAGCCCAACAACCAGCTCTGATTTCAGACACTCCACAATTATGTGGCAGTGCGAGTCCGTAGAGCAGGCAGTGGACTTGCAGTTTGCGTAACATGGATCTGAGGATCATAGGTGCCCTCAGAACCCTCCAAAAACGATGTGTTTGACAATCCCCTGGACATTTTCACGCAAAAAACCAATCCAACCCCGAAGAACACTTAAGTCCTAGTCCTAGAAGTATAAGGTACATCATAGTATATCATAGTATGTCTTAAGATTACTATATATCGTAGTATATCATAGTATATCATGGCAGCGTACATTGGGTATTGTAGAGTATACTGGAGTGTGAGGATTGCTTCAAGGCACCAGTCGGTCTTGACTGAAGGAGTCGATGTATACCACAGGAGGCAATGCAATGCAATGCAGTAGCGGATATGGGCGGTTGTCAAAATTACGGTCCCTTTTGGGGTCCTTAATATAATACGGCACCTACTATTTAGGGTACCCAAAAAGGGACCCTGATATTGACAACCACCCATATAGTGGTTTAGGGTCTAGGGTGGCTGACAGATAGACGGACAGATCAGAAAGCGAGAGGGCGAAGTGTCTGTTGCTGTTGGTTGGGCTCTCAGACACTTGTCTGCTTTGCCCTTAACCTCAATGCTAGCTCTATAATAACCCTAAATTGTAAACTCTCTGGCTACGCTATCCAAAACCGAGGACACGTTTAGGCCCGCTGTCGGACTGGCACGCTCACTTCGTTTCGACGCTTCCAGGGAACGGTGAAGGGGTCATTGTACCTGACGATAAGCGCAGGGTTTAGTGCTTAGGGGGTTTAGAGTTTAGGGTTGAGGGTTGAGGGGGGGGAGCCTTTGGGGGCTGGGTATCACGATTCATCAAGCTCTGCAGGCCTTTTCAGAAACCGTGACGTTCACTCGTACGGCACAGCAGGCCTAAACCAGAAACCCTCAACCCTACACCCTGTGCCCTAAACCCTAAACCCTAAACCCTGACCCGGTAACCGTGCGTCCCAATGCCCTACTCAAAGAGGGGCAGACAGTAGCAGCCTGAATGATGGGAGAGAAAGCTTTCAGGGCTTGGGGTAGTACATTATGGTGTTATTATATAAGGACTGTTTGGGGTGGTGTGTGGTGTATTGTGGGATTATTATTATTATTATTATTATTATTATTATTATTATTATTATTATTATTAATATATATATATATATATATGTAGATAGGGACTGTACGGAAATACTCATAGTATCTTCGTCCCACCGCTTGAGCCCTCTCAACACTTCCGGGTCGCTGCAGCAGCCGTGTCGCATTCTCAGCCAACTCCCACTCCTTGCTTGCACAAACAAACAGAAAGCCATGCTTTTCGGGTTTAGGGTTAGGGTTCAGGTTTTTGAACTCATGGTGGTTGGTTTGGGGCTTAAGGCTTTTGGTGTTTCTTAGGGCTCTCAGAATTAAGGCTGCAGAGCTTCAGTTGCAAGGCCTTGCATGCGTGTATGTGCGTTGTGTGTGGTGGGTCTTGAGGGCTCATGCTCGGAGATGCTTAGTTTCAACCTTAGCTATACATCCGGAGCCACAATCTGCGATCGACTTCACCAGTCTCCCTCGCAAGACCTCATTTAAAAAAAAACATATAACTCTTGTTGGAAGCATTGCAAAAAAATGTACGCAAACCAGCCGTGCCACAAGAGCCCGCAACCTCACCCTGAAGGCTTGCTTCTCGGACTGATTGGAAGAGTATAACAACTAGTGCCGTGACTCGTACTGAGTTGCTGACTGAGAAAGACTATGAATGTAGTGTCCGCCTCTCTGGCAAGAAAACCGCATTAGAGATAAGAACGACACAAGAGAATAATTGAATCTGATAGTGATCCTTCGGTGACAACAGTGATCGCAGTATCAAGAACGATGTTTGCAGCAACAGTCAACACAGTGAGAGCCACGGGCCTTGATGGCAGGTACAGTAACCGAAGCAACAGTGTGATAGCCAGGAGCAGAATCAAAGCATAAACGCCATGTCATGTAGGCTTCCTTCAAGTAATTATAGTAGAAGCCAGAAAGTTGGAACATCAGACTCCTCATGCCCTTAAGGTAAAGTATAAGGGATCCTAGCACTAATCCTCCTAAAGCCATGTTCCAACTTTCTGGCTTCTACTGTAGGCCATGACACGAAGGCTCAAAGGCCTCTCAGCGACAGCTCTGAGCGACAGGAAACAGGACTCTCTGAACCCTGAAACACTAGACCCTAAACTCTAAGGCAAAACCCTAAACCCTAAACCCTAAATCCTAAACTCTAAACCCTAAACTCTAAACCCTAGATTCTAAACTCTAAGCCCAAACCCCAACCCAAAACCGTCCTCGCTTTCCGCCACGGAAGCCAAGAGCTCCTCTGTCCTCGGGCACATCTTTGCTTTCGGAGTCGAGACTGAAACCCCAAACCCTAAACTCTGAAGCCTGAACCTTAAGGGGCTTGGGGCTTACAGTAGGGGTTGAAGGGTTTAGGGGTTTAGGGTTTACGGTTTGGGGTTCAGGGTTTAGGTTTTAGGGTTGAAGGTTTAGGGTTTAGGGTAAACTCTGAGTCCGAAACCCTTAAACCCTGAACCCTTATAGTAGAAAGCAGTGATACTCATGCCCTCAAGGTGGAGCATCGGGAATCCTTGCGCAAATCATCCTTAATCCGTGTTCCAACTTTTTGGGGTTTGCTATGAACCTTGAACCCTGAGCGTCGACGATAAACAACACGAGCTCTCAGGAATCAAGTGCTCGCAATCCCGAGTCGAGGTCAAGGAGGATGTGCTGACAGTGTTCAGATTGAAAGCTTAAGGTTTTAGGTCCGAGGGTTAAAGTTTACGGCTGAAGATTTGAAATTTAGGTTTTGAGGTTTAAGATTTGGGGTTTTACGGTTTCGGAGCCCTTGAACCCTGCTCCTTTCGCCTCGACGACCCTGTAGAACCTTACTTGGAGGATCATGGGACTTAGTAATTAATTAGGGTTGTAGATAGGGTAACTATAGCTATAATTACTTATAACCCCAATTAAGTCCCATGATCCTCCAAGTAATGGAACGCTTGCAGAATCCTCATAGAACCTTAACAGAAAGAACCCTTATAGAACCCTCATAGAACCTTAACAGAAAGAACCCTTGTAGAACCCTCATAGAACCTTAACAGAGCAGGAATAGATACAAGTAGCTTGTAGAGCCCTTGCAGAACTCGTATAGAAGCCTTCTAGACTCTAGACCCCTCATGTAGGCAGATTGCTGCCCAGCCACTTCCGCGCTACTAGGGAACCCACGGCGTAGCCACCGAAGATGCTCACGGCCACACGCTCCCCGGGCCGTTCCTTCAGGGTTTAGGGATTTTGGGCTTAATTTAGAGTGAAGGTTTGAGGGATCAGGGTTTCGGCCTTGGGGGTTGGACTTGAGGGTTTTGGAGTTTAGGAGCTTCTCGGATCGGGGTTCAGGCTTGGGAAGCCTCACTGTCAAAGCTGCAAAAGACCCTCAGCCGTGCTTCGTCATCATCATCCATCATCGCCCGCAATGTCGTCGATATGGGCTCTCATGCTTATCATGATGCGGTCAGAGCTCGTCGTCTGAGACACGACTCTTTTAAAGGGAAGCCCAAATCACAGAGGCCTCCCGAAATCCCTAAATCCTAAACCTCCCAACAAATCTCAAATCACAAAAAAAGGTTTAGAATTCTGTGGTCCTTTTGGGCCTCGGACGGCTTGTAATTCAGGGTTGGGGCTGAGTGGGGCTTGGGCTCTCGGGCACAGGCTGCTTCTGGGGGCTTGGTGACTTGCAGCATCTTGTATGGTATATTATATATCACGCAGACAGGTTACATGTTGTGCTACAAGTATACTCAACTCTATCCTAGACTATACTATGCATAAGCTATCAAAGGCATACTATAAAGCATACTACACTGTATAGGTGGGCCTGGAGAGTCACGCCGGCATCTTCGGCGGGCAGAGGCGCTTCGGAGAGGGACTCCCCCCAGTACTTGCTCGGCATGATGAACCTAAGAACCCCGGGCTTTGGGATTCGGGTTTATGGTTTAGGGTTTTAGGGTTTTAGGGTTTTAGGTTCGTGATTTCGTAACAGGGCTTTGTAGGGCGTTTATGTTCTGAGACGGGGTTTTCGAAGGACCTTAGACATGTTTAAGAAGGGTTTTGGTTGGCTTTGCAGGGTTGCCATAAGCTATAAGGCTTAATGCCCAGAGTGCTCAAGCTGCTTCCTGATTAGGACAAGCAATCCCTGAGTAGCAAAAATTCACAATGAGGACATGTTGCGCCCCTAGGGAATGGTAGAAAGGACAAAACAGCATAGTGATCGCCATGACACTGTGGGTGGCTGCTTTACTCAAAGACAGGTCAGCAACAAGGCAAGCTGAAGGTTGCTGAAAGACATACTTGTACTAATTTTCTTCGAACTTGCGGCATGGGAAAAACATGGCGTAGGGGCCTTAATAATGAGAAATGTATAGTAAGGAGCCCCAAAAATGGTATAGGTAATTATTTAGGCCCCTGAAGTAGTCTTGAAACTTTCCAGCTTCAGGCTTCTGCAAAAGGAGGCTTTAGGGTCTGGGGCTGTTTGAGGATTCAGTGCTTGACGATTTTAGGGGGCTTAGGGTTTAGGGGTTTAGGGTTTAGGGGTTTGAAGCTTTAGGGGTTTATTGGTTCAGGGTTCAAAGGGTGTAGGGTTTAGGATTTAAGGAATTTGGTGCCTTTTTGGGTCATCTACTGAACCAGCACTGGAAAAGAACAGATTGCACAAAGCAGGTGCGGGACTGTGCGCCCGGCACCCCACACTTACCGTAATAGATCCACTGGCCCCCAATCCTGTTTGACAGCACGAGGCTCTGCAACTCTCTCTGGAACACCAGAAGATCGATCTAAAAGTCCCAAATCCGAGATGACAAGCCGAATATAGGGGCCTTAATTATTAGAATAATGTTTTGGGGTATATTGTACACTGAATTGTTTTTGGAACCCCCCCCCCCCCGCTATCATTAAGCGTCAAGCCCGCAAGCCTGATCCTGGAGTTGAGGTCCCAGGTGCGACATTGTTCCGGTGCTCTTGTCCATCTGAACTGGTGTGGTCATGGCCATCTTCTCGTTCCTGCCAGGCATTTTTGGGCTGCTGATTTTGGGTTAAGGTTTAGGCTGTGAGAAGGCGCGAACAGGAGAAAGGCAGCAGCAGTGATCGTAGCAGTGCGAACAGCAGCACTAGTGAAGGAGGGAGGGGAAGGAGGAGGAGGAGGAGGAGGAGGAGCGGCTGAAGCAGGACCACACTCAGAACGAGCAGCCAGAGCAGGGGTAGTCAGAGGAAACCAAAATGACACCCACGATGTGGTAGCAGCTGCAGAAGAAGCAGTTTTTTCATCAGCATCAACATCAATCAACATCCCCCATCATAACTGCCATCACCGTCATCATTAGCAATGCTGAGACGATGAAAAAAACTCCCTAACTGCTACAGGTTGTACCACTGCTCCTCCACCGTTTTAGCCCTCGGCACTTGGTTTCATCCGAATGACATAGGACATACGCCTCTGATAGTGCTGCTATTCAATGCGCTGATCCTTCTTGCTACCATTCAGATAGTGAGCCATACACCCTAAACCCTGTATCACAACTCATATGCAACTTACAGTGAACGGACAATATTCGTCTCCGCAGAGCGCATATCTCCCGGCACATCTTCAACCTTGCAAGCCCCAAAGTCGACATAAGGTAGCTGTTTTGTTTGTTTGATGGGTCTTTGAAGGGCGCCGATAAGGACTCTACGAAGGCTCTATCTATACATACATATCTATGTATGTCTATATGTAATGCTCTGTAAGAAAATACCATTCGTAAGTGCGCCCACGGCTCTGATCCCAATTGGTAGCTGCCGCTTGCCGGCATATAACTCTCACAGTTACTTCCGCAACCTCAACAGCACACATTGAGAAGAGCTTCGTCAAACAATGCCCTTCGTGAAAGCAATATCTTCGATGATGCTGCCTCTCGTTCTTCTTGCCGAAGATGTAGTCTGCCAGCATGAAGAAGGAGCGATTGTTGGCCGCTTCGCCACCTTCGGTAAGGAAGCCACAGGAACCCCAGCGCTAGCATCGAGAGTCTTGAACTGCCTGGTTTCATGAAACTGGCATATTTTCATTCGTCGTCATGTCCTTTGCCGTTATCATAGAACCACCATCATCCCCACCACCGTCAACCGCTATCACGACAGCAGCAACGTCCGGATAAAGTACCATCATCGCCTTTGTTGCCCAAATCGTCGCCAACACCATTATATTTATTCATCATCGTTATTCTCTCACACTCTTCCCGAACACTGCGAAACCATCATCACCAGCGTTGCCGTGATCAATGAGAACACACTCATTCCTGGAGTTCATGAGTGGCGTTGGCACTGGCATGCAAAGCACACAATACCCTAAGCGCCAAAAGCCCTAAGCCTTTAGGCTTCAGGGTTTGGGGTTAGGGCTTAGCTCAAGAGCACAGCCCCAAACGACAAAGCAGTCAGCTCTAACTCCTCCGACCATGCCTTGGCCCGCGGTCCGCACCACCGCGTAGGGCGCATACTCGCGGACCTCTCGCGATTCTTCTTTCAGGCCGCTCCTTAAGGGTTCCCGATAAAGGTTGCCATAACCCTAAGCCCTCAACCCTGAACCCTGAACCCTAAACCCTAAACCCTACAAGGGTTCCTTTAAGCGTAGGGGTTCCCTCTAAGGGCTCCGAAAGATTCCTCAAAGAGCCCCCCTTTTTTGAGGGCTCTTTGAGGAAGGTTCCTGAAAGGGAGGCTTGGGATTCTCCACAGGTTCTTGGGATATATATATATATATATATATATATATATATACATACATACATATTTATATGGTTCTGGGGACATGGAGTGTCAAGGTTTCTAGGTTGGTCCTTCCTTGTGCCTGCAGGATCCTGCACGTGGTCCTGTTCGGAGTCCTAGCCTAAGCCGAAAAGGTTGGTGGAGGCGTTCTTAGAGCAGTTCTCCAGGGCTCCAGATTCTGGAACAAGTTATTTGCGGGGCTGCCGTTGAAGGTTTCAGTGTTAAAGCTCAGTGCCCATGGCCCGGCGAAATCTACCAGGCACAGCATCAATCGACCCCAACTCAAACAAAGGCACTTGCTCCCTTGCGTCCAAAAGGATAGCGGCGCCTAGCCGAATATACCTACTCAACTACTAGGCCTAGACAACTCTGTGACCAACCCATTTTGAAGCCGCTTGGGCCCCTACAGTACCATCTGAACCTGAATCCCCAACGGAAGACTCTTCAAGACGTGTTCCGACCTCGTAGCCATTCAGGGCATCCCGGTACAGCACCTTCCCGTAACAGGAGGCGATTTCTCATGGTCGGCAGAGAGTCTATATGTGGACTGAAATACGGCCCTATAGAGGGTTCTATAGCGGTGACTATGTGGGTACTGGAAAGCCCACTCTGCAAGGGTTCCACAAAGGTTCGAACGGGGTTCTGTAAGAGATCTCTCCAGGAGAAAAGAGACAAGCAGCTTATGCACGCGCTTCAACCCCTACGTCCGAGTGTTGCGTAACATTGGCCAGGCTCCCTGGTAAATCTAAGGCCTTCAACCTGAAACCCAACGGCCAGCTTCTGAAACCTAAACCTACTAACTGTAAACGTATCATCACTAACTCATCAATCCTTAATCCATATCTCCGATATCTCCTGAACCTACATACTGAAAGCTCTCGGCAAGCCCCGTGCTTCTAGCAGGCAGGGCTTCTCGGATGCAACCCTCAACCTTGAATGTTCAAGCTCCCGACAATCAGGATCACCAAATCAACACCCTAAATGGCAAGATTGTCAGGCTCAGATATGGATAGACTCAGACCCACATGGTTAGACTCGGATGCACTTGGCTAATGCTGTGTTGACAAAAATTCAAAAAATTGTATTGCTCCTGCAACATACGTATGCGATTAGGTCTTGCAATACATTCTGTAAAGAAAACCCTCGAACAAAAGTGCAAACGCCCCAAGCCCCTACAGCCGAAGAACCGAATTCATCCGATACTCTATACTTTTGTGAATGATTATGTATTAGGTATTTCATGTGTTCTGGATTCCAAACTCTCGGAGACCCCCCAACATCCCTATCCAAGCCGTTTTTACAACCAGTGGAGCTGCTGGACCTGAGGGTATGATGCGACCTTCACGTCACTCTATTCGTCCTCCGCGTAGAAGCATACAGCCATTGGAGGCTTACTTGCTCAGCATCCTAGGCGAACTAAAGGGTAACCCTTGGGGTTCTATGGGGCAAAGGCTACCTACTCTACTTCTAAATCCTAGGTAGAACCAGGACATGCTGAAAATCCTTCTTCTCCCTGATGACAACCGTAGAAATACTTTATATGCCGCTGATAAGAACAAAATAAACTTGTAGAAGTAGGGTTCCATATCAAACAATAAGGAAAAGTAAGGGTTACCCCAAATCGATACCTGGTAAACCTGTGATAAAACTCTCAAAACCTGCCTCGTAGTCCGGGGTCTCGAGGTCCGGCGTCCGTTGCTTCCACTCCCCCTCACCTGCCTCGGCTTTGATCGCCGACCTCCACGCTTGGTGGAAGAGATGCAGAAATTTTCATGTTTGTTTAAAGGAATGATAATAAGAACACTAACAATACTACTAATAAAGATAACAATAATGACGAGAAAAACAGTGTGTGAGTATATTGCGTTGGTCTGGATGTATTCCTGAATCTCTGTATTTGTCTTTGTTCGTTACTTATGCATATGTACAGATATACCCTTATGTAGATGTGTAGTCAAGGTGCGTAGTTAAGGTTCTGTTTCTAATGGAGTAGCCTGTATACCTTTCCCTGGTAACAGGGTGCTGAAGGTTGATGGGGCTGTGCTACTTAGAAGACCAGGGACCTACGGTTGACTATATAAATCCTGCATTCCCTATGGGAATTCTGGTATATTCCTTGTTATGGGTAATGCAGGATTTATATCATCAACAGTAGTAAGCAGGGCAGAAGTCCGAGATCCTTGAAGCACGCCCCAAAACCCATCAAGCCCTACGAGGCCCTCTAAAGCAGAAAAACTACTTGGAGGGTCAGGGGACTTAGCAAGTAAGGTTATAAGTGCCCTAATTGGGGTTATAAGTAAGTATACCTATAGTTGCCTTACTTATAACCCTATTTACTAAGTCCCATGATCCTCCAAGTAGACAACCTGCCAAGCAGCGTAAGAGTACGTCTTAGGCTGAGCTGTTTAGGCCTTGGGCCGCTAGAATGAAGATTCAGATGCCAACATTCAAAGAAACAATCTAAAAGACACAGCGCCACCTAAACCCCAAGCCCTACACCCATAAACCTAAACACAAAACCCGAAACCCCAAACCCACCACCCCTAAATCCTTGCAGCCCAACTCCGAAAATCGAGGCTTTTCTCCTTTCAACCTGAACCCCGAGGTTTAAGTCCCATTCCTGTGTTTGGTTGGGCTTCAAGGGTTGTCGTGCCTTCGTGGGCCCACATACTTGCAGCAGAGTCTTACTTAGGGTTTTTGGGCTTTTGGGTTTAGGGTTTAGGGTTTAGGGTCCCTCCCACACTTTAAAACAGTCACCAGTTCGACGGTGACGTCGATGACGAGCCCGTTACCTGCCACAGGCCCACGGCCGAAACCTCACCAGGCCCAGGCTGTTTATGATAGCTCTGTAGAACTACTTAAAGGATCATGGGACTTAGTAACTAAGTTTGTTATTGGGGTAACTATACTTATAACTACTTATACCCCCAATTAAGGTACTTAGAACCATACTTAGTAAGTCCCATGATCCTCCAAGTAGTATCGACGTCAATGAGAACCCGAAAACCAACAGCCTTGAACATCCGCAGCCCTTGAAGCCCTGACCCGAAGCCTCTGCTGCAGTGCTACACCCTAAACCCGAAAACCCTAAAGCCGCACGCCGCGCCTCTCCACGGCCCAGGCCGTGTTGGAAACCAGCTGACGCAGCACCACGAACAAGGCCCGCGCCTTGCCTGTAGATGCAAGGCTCAGGATCTCCATCTAGGGCTTAGGAGGGGTTAGGACCAGGAGGGGTGTAAGGCTGTTCGCTGCGGCCTGGACACCACCACCAGCAAACACAGTCTGGGAGCTTCAGTCGGCAATCGCGCAAAGTGCTGGTTTCTGTGGTTTCGGCCGCAGCACCCTGCGTATTTTGGGATAAAAGGACTGCTCGCGCCACAGGAAACTGGCAATTTAACACTGAAAGCAAAGGCCCCAAAGGCGTGGAAGCCAGTATGCCAGCCCCGTTACCTGCATTCCGGCCCATCTGTCTAAATGCTGCTACGTGGCTTGCATCAGAGACCTCTGCTTCTTTTTCTTCGCCATCCTGCGTGGAGCACATTGCGACTGCGACTGCCACCGCTGCTACCGCTGCTACCGCTGCTACCGCTGCTACCGCTGCTACCGCTGCCACCGCCGCTGCTGCTGCTGCTGCTGCTGCTCCTGTGGCTGCTGCTGCCGTCGCTATGGTCGCTTCAAAAGCCACAGGCGACATTCGTGGCATGGCAAGCAATGGCCGCAACTAGAGTGACAAATGGGTAGTTGTCAAAATTAAAGTGCCTTTTGGGGGTACCCTAAAAATTCGGTGCCGGACTGTAATAGAAACCCAAAAAGGGACCCTAATTTTGACAACCACCCAAATTGCTGTAAAGACAGCAGCCTCCGATTGCAATGCTAAGAACAAGAAACCCTGTGAGACCAACCGCAAGAGCAACAGACTTGGAGGATCAGGGCACTTAGTAAGTAAGGTTGTAAACACCCTAACTGGGGTTATAAGTAAATATATATATATATATATACGTATAGTTACCTTATTTATAAGCCTAGTTACTAAGTCCCATGATCCTTTAAGCAGGAACGCTGACGAGGAGTGTCAATGGCTCAGGACAACAAGACATCGCTGATATCTGCCAGGTCCTCCTGGCCGTTTGCGTCCAGGACATCGTTCCTTGGCGGTTCTGTGGTGTCATGTGCGAGTTTCAGAAAATAGTGGACCCTAATCTAGAGACTTTCGAGTAAGACCAAGATCCTTCTTCCAAAGCTCCCCTCGAAAGCCCGAACCCTTCAAGTCCACGTGATACCCTGGTAGGGTAAAAACAAGCCCAAAGTGACTCTTCATCTGGATGGAGTTTGGCTTTAGGCAAGCTGGAAAGTCTGCGGATGTTCGGAGGACGTTGAAATGCCACAGCGGGCATATTGCGAAACAGTTGGAAGTTTCAGACAACAGAGCACCGTACGGGAAACCCATCGCGGGGTCCTGATTGTGAAGACAAAACCATGTATACCTGAGATCACCTGAGTATCAGAAGCACGCAACCCAAAACCCCAAACCCCCACCACCCTAATTCCAACCCCCAAAACGCCTAAAACCCTAAAACCCTAAACCTCTCGAGCCCCAATTCTAAACAACTCGAATCCCCCCCCCCCCCGTGTTCGGCCCCGTGGCTTGAGCACATACCGCAGGCGTTGTTCGCCATCTCGGGTTCGCTTCTGCAACTCGACCGGGCTCCCTGCCTTCCAGGCTTCAGGGCATCGCTTAAGGATTAAGGCTGCTTGGAGGTTCATGGGTAGCTATATAAGTAGAGTTATAAGTAGGATGAACCTCCAAGAGGGTTCAACGGTTTTCGGATTAAGGGGCTCTCCGCCAAACCCTCTACACAAGCACTGTCTGATGATATGCAAACAGCGAGGCATTGGAGCTTAGCTTGGGGTCGGCGGCTTGAGCAACCCTACAGCCAGAAGACCCCCAACGACGCCTGCTGCGGAAGGATGTGATTCGTGACCGTGCGGTAGAGGCCTCCGGATGCAATATAGTAGAGGCCCGGACAAATAGTAGTATACCCTTATCGTCTTTACATATTTTTGGTATGACACACCCCAAAGCAAGCCCTATTCTGCTCATTGAGGCCCGTACATCCACTCTTACCCCTGAGCGAGGATGCATGCACGTACAAGGATTTAAGGTCTAGGGAGGTCTGCATGCATGCATGTATCTATGTGTGTATATGCACGTACGCATGTGTGCGATTTCTACAGCACCATTCCAGAGTCGGGAGAACCATGGTGGAGTCTGGTTCCAAAAACCTTTTTAAAGCACTCCGAACCGTGAGCCCTCGGGCCCCGGGACCCCCCCACACCCCCATCGTTGATTGAGCCTTTACTCCACACCCTACAGACCGCTTTGCAGGTAGAAGAAAAGAAAACTGATAAACAAAGACTCTCTCTTTATCTATCTATTTACCAATTTGCCTATCTACCTCTCTGCCTATCTACCGATCTATATATCGACCGATCTTTTTTATCTGCCTATGTATTTTTGCCATTTTAATCAGACAAAACTTCAAGGCCCAGGGGCTCGCACAGGCCGCCCTGTAGCCCAAGAAGGGCCGCAGCCGCAAAGCTGGGACACCCTTGGAGTCCTCGTCTCCAGGCCAGGCAACAGAGGGGTTTTTATGGCTTGGATTTAGGGCTGTGCGTTCTTTTTAAGGTGCCTTCTTAATGTCCGCCAAACGGTCGGCAGCCACTGAGGCCTTTGTGATTCAAGGTTTCGGGTTTCGGGTTATAGGGGTGGGTTCTGAAGGGTTTCACTTAAGCTTAGGGCTCTGAGGAGCTTTCAGGGCTTGCCTGTAGCCGAAAAGGCCTACCTTTCTAAGGGACTGTATATATATATATATATATATATATATATATAAATATATAAATATATAAATATATAAATATATAAATATATAAATATATAAATATATAAATATATAAATATATAAATATATAAATATATAAATATAAATATAAATATATATATATATATACAATAGGGTTGCTTATTGTGGTGTGTATATATATATATATAGTATAAACCATATAGTAAGGAACCCTAACAAGGTCTGTTTTTTCGGCTACAGGTGGGGCTTAGGGTTCCTGGGGCTTTAAGATATATGGCATTATGTAGGGGCTGGACTTTGGGGCTGCGGGGTTCTTGTGGCTTTGATCCTGATCTGAAACATCCCTTGAGGGAGCTCTGGTCATTCGATGTGGCAACATCCATCTGATTTCTTCTGGGTTTCGGGATCTGATTCTGTGGATTGGGGATCAAGCCCTAAACCCTGAACCCGGAACACCTCGACATTCGTCGGGTACTTCGGATGCTTCAGCCCGCAATATTGAAGCCTGTCTCCACGTCGTGGGGCTGTTTGCGCAGAAATGTTTGGATCCAAAGCTTTGGAGCTCCTGAACCCTGAACCCTTGTCTCAGGCGCATAGGCTGTTGGATTTTATATTTGCGGGTTAGGGCGTAGTGTTCAGAGTATTATGTTCCTGGCTTTCGATTTAATATGGGCTCGGGTTTATTGATTAGGATTCGGGCAGTCGAACAACGACGCCGCAAAAGTGCCTCGGCCACAGGCGGGCCTCTCAGAAACTACGAGACCCTAACACAGACCCCAAACTGTAGGCTCCTTCCTGAAAAGGAGTTGTGGTTTTCCGGTTTAGGATTAATAATCTCTACTAAACTGTCCTTACATGAGACACCCCCAGTTCTAAGAAACTCCCAAACCCGAAACCCCAGAAACGCCAATTTAGTGCCCTCAAGGCACCCTGCCATAGCGCTCGATCTCATCAAAGATCTCCACGCTCACTTCATCGAACATGCCAGACAGCTCCTAGGAATCTAGAAGAGGGTTCTACAAAGAGATCTAGGCCGGGTCTAAGCCAAGAAGGGGTCCCAAACTGTGCAGGCTTTGGGGCTTAGGCTTGAGGGATCAGGGCTTAAGCTCCGAAGTCCCGAAAAGAGGGCGTTCAGGCTTTGAAAGGGCTTTATCGGGCTTGTGCAGATGGGTTTGAAGGGTTAAACCACGACATCAATCGATCATTTGGTAGGCTATAAGCAACCTACCATGGGGATCGCTCAAGTAAACTTCTCTGTTTCCGGTATACTTCAACTGCAATGTCCGGATCCTGCAAAGCATAAAGCATGAAGCTTCTAAACGAGTTTGAACACTCCTTAATTAGCAAACATATCTCAACTCATTATGAAAAGCTCTATACCACAAGAAGCCTTATAGAATGTAAGGTATCCGTCACTACCCGACATTTGTCTCTCCGCGTTCTTTCTAGTTTCCTGTGAGAGCCCTTCAGAGACCTCTATCACAGAACCCTTCAAAGAGTCCGCTACCCGAAACCCTAAACATAAGGGAGCTTATAGAGTGGGACTCGACCCGGCAAAGGCGGCCTTCAGCGCCTCCTGGCGTACATCACCTCGCCGCGCCAGCAGCAGCCTTGCCGCACCACGAGCTGACAAGGCGCTGAACGGGCTCTTTAAGGGGCCCATAATAAGGCCTTTCTCATGTGGTCCAGAAGGGGCTTTAAAACTTTTGCCTTTCTCCCCTCGTCGGATTCAGCGAAGATTGGTCGCTACGCTAATTATTTTTACTATCATACTTTTGTGGTTCGGGGGGCTGTAAAAACTCTTGCAGCTCCGTGCTCTCTTCTGGTTCCAGAGTCCCAACCCAACTAATTAGTGGGGAGCTCCCCTTTTCTGGCCGCTATATACCAGAAGAGACCTCCAAGACCTAACTGTCCTGGCCCTGATATATGCATATCTTGATGCGCACACGCACGCATGCATGTGTGTACATATGGGGCACGGCTTTTTTTTACACCCCGAAAAGGCTCTCTACCGTCTCTTCCGGGACTGGGGGCTTTTTTCGTGTCCTGTTCTGATCTGGCCCCCGTGACTGGAGCTTTTTTCGTGTCCTGCCAAGCCAGGACATAAAAACCTACCTGACCATGCACTGGGAAGGCTTCATTTGGGCGGGCTTTGGGCTTCTTCGGCTTGGAGTGGTGGTTTTTTTCGTGTCCTGTTCTGAACACAAAAACCTACCTGACCATGCACTGGGAAGGTTTCATTTGGGCTTTGGGCTTCTTCGGATTGGAGATCGGTTCCGGGGGATTTGTGGGGTCGGTTTAAGGAGTTCGGCTTGGAAGTTCAATCAGGCTCTGTAAATGGCCGGAGAGTTCGGTTTAGAAGTTGGTTTAAGGCTTTGGGGGTAGAGACTTCGTCCTGGTTTCAGGCTTTTCAGAGGCCCTGCACATAGCGCTAAATTGTCCAATCTCGAAAAGGCAAGAAACCATGTGGCTTTCTCGCACTGATACGTGCTCCATGCGAGTGGCTCCAATAACCTTCTTTCCGCAAAGTCTTTATATGAAGACAGCGTTCTGACAGAGTCCTCGTCAGAGTCGTCAGCACCTCCGCGCCGATCTTCTGCGGGATTGAGCGTGCTCGACGGCCTGGCCTTTTCTTCTCTTGCAGCAATGCTGCTGCCACGCGTGCTCACCCGCATACCTTCATCGTCATGTACGACTCTGTACCTTGCATCCACACGCAGCCTGCTCAAGAGTGCCGGATCCACTGCTTGCCCTTCGTGTCGCCTGCAAGACGTGTACATCAGAGTTTCGCCATCCGCGAATACTTCCACGCCGTAGAAATGCGACAAGGCTTCCACAAAGACCACGTACTTGCCGGGCGCCCATGTATCACCTGGCACTGCGGGGTCTGCGACCAAGCCCCGCCTAGGCCGCACATTCTTCTGGAAACAAACTCCGGTTCATGAGGCTTGTTCTTCTGGAAACAAACTCCGAACGTACACTCGTACACTAAGTCGGCTCATGAGGCTTGCCTGCAATTCCCTCTTGGTTCTGCGAGCAAGTCACCTCTGCGGCTTCAAGAATTCGCGGCCATCCCGCAAGGCCCAAAAAGGCCCGTTGCGCTCGTACGGGATGCGCAAGAATCGACTGTCTGCTCGACGTGGCACAAGCAACCTCGACTTCGTTCTAACAACACTACAAACCTTGGAACACTGCACATCGCCATCCTACGCTCCTTGCAACCATAGGCTTGACCGTCAGCACTGGATTGACTGGTCTTGTCCTGAGGATGCCACGATTTCTTGTAGGCAACTGTCTGTGCTCTCGTCAAGTCCCATCGTCGCTGGTCGCCTTGGCCCAAACGACACATCGCCTCACTGCACGTGGCTGCAGTCAACTCTACATACACTGCATTGTTGCAGAGGAGTTACACCAGTCCTCTTGTAAGTACAGCCCTTGGTTACGCTCTTTCTCATTCTCGGCTGTGGTGAGCGCATCTCTTAGCAGTTCATCGTCGTTGTCGTGAGAGCCTTGCTTCGCGACCATCATCTTTTTCTTTGCCTCCTTCCAACTGTTACAGCGTCAGGACTGCCAGCTACACGTGTAAGTCGGGCCGCTGTGTACTGATGTGAGGCTTTGCGCGACCTTGCTGCACTGGCCACGCCTTCTTGTAGGCAACTGTCTGTGCTCTCGTCAGGCCCCATCGTCGCTGGTCGCCTTGGCCGAAACGACACATCGCCTCACTGAACGCGGCTACAGTCATTTTTACGTCGGCTGCATTCTTGCCGAGGAGTCACACCATTCCTCTTAAAGGTACAGCCCTTCGTTACGCTCTTTTTCGGCCATGCTGAGCGCATCTCTTAGCAATTCCCCGCCGTTGTCGCGAGAGGCTTGGTTCGCGGCCATCATCTTTTTCTTTGCCTCCTTCCAACTGTTACAACGTCAGGACTGGCACCTAGACTTGTAAGTCTATATACTGCTTTGCGCGACCTTGCTGCGCTGGCCTTACTGGCCTTCTGCTTCGCGTCCCTGCTGGCTTGGCGCGTTGCAGGAAGTTCGTTTGCCTGATCCTGGCTTCGAGTTGTGAAACTCCACAGTCTCGTTTCTCGACTTTTAGTCTCTTCGTAGAATTTCGTTCGAGCTCCCATGCCTGACCATCAACCCCAGACCCGAAACCTGATCCGCAAATCTTCAGTCCCGCACAAGATGCCAGCTCGCAAACCAACTTGGCGGAAAGTGCTCCGCCAGAAAGACAGTCGTGAAAAGGCCGGCAGTAGTCTGCAGCCAGCTCCTGAGAAACCATGCACCTTGCGGCCGGCTGAGGGCTTTGGCTTCTGCTCCAACCCTTCAAGCTAGAACCCACTACCCGACTTCACCAAGAGCTCCAAAACTCACACGCGCTCCAGGTGGCCAGCTGACCCAGCTAGTGTCAAAGCTTGTCCAAGTTCTACTCTCGCTAGTCTAAGCTGCAGTCAAACATCTGCGGGCCGAGTGTCAAAGGGCCGCGAAATTGCCGATGTCGGCATTCTAAGCCCGCACGGTCATCAAAAAATGCCGCTTCTCGCAAACGTGCCCCAGTGCGCCCCGTGCGTCAAGCTAGCTTCTGGCTGTCGCGGCACACTCCGGAAAACAATCCATGTGCTGTTGCTTCAGGCCGCCTTTGAACCGCAAACCGCTGATCCCAAGCAGGCCGCCTTCGACCGGCTCGACTGCAGGATCGACCCCATGCTGATGTCCCATGGCGTCCAGAGCCACCGATTGAGCGAGACGCAGCTTGCTCGAGCCCCACATCTTCATGAACAGAAACAACAAGGTCACACGAATACCTGCGCACACGTGTGGCAGTTCATGCATGTGCATACGACTCCACCTGTCTGCATCTGTAAGCGCGCAAACGTTAGCGCAAGGACCCGGGCAAACCCGGCACGACGTCCATTTCAAGCCTTCCCGCGCCAATGAAAAGCCCTGCAGTGGCCTCTCACGTTGTTTTTTGCTCCCGTTAAACCTTCTTCTGTTCCTGCTGCCTCAGGGGTCGTGTGAAGCCCCCCACAGGGGTCGATTGAAACCCCTGTGCCGGCCGGGGAGGGTTGTTTTTTGAGACCTTTCGGTGACAACGGCTACAAAAAGTGAGCTTTTAAAGCCCGCCGCTGGGTCAGGAGGGTTTTTTCCGGAACCTGTCGCGCCCCAGGAGTCTGGCTTCGAGCCGCACAAGGATTATTTAAAGCCCTCTCCGGTGAGGGGAGGGTTTTATTTGGTCCCCCCTGTCTGGGCCAGGGGCAGAAAAAACCTTGAGCGGGGGAGGGGGCTTTTTTGGGCGCTGTCCACATGGGGGCAGGACCAGAGGTCCGCAACGGCTGCCCGGTGGGCCGAAAGAGCCTTTACGACAGTACCTGAAAAAAGCCCTTCGGGGGAGAAAAACTCAGCCCTGTACATATGTCAATGTGCAGACGCATGATATGCACAAATGCGAAGATGCACATATGCCTGCATACGTATGCACAAGTACACGAATAATCATACAACATGCATAGACACCTATCCGTGTCAATGTCTTTCCCTCCCGCCCGAATCCTAAACCTAAGCTGTAATTCCCAGCGAGTGTCCGTCGCAGCGACGGCCGCCACTCGGCGGCTGTAGCAGGCGCGTCCTCGCAGGTGGAATCACAGAGTGGAATCCTCTATCCTCCTCCTCCTCCTCCTCATCCTCCTCCTCCTCCGTCTCCTCCTCTTCCTACTACTACTACTACTGCTGCTACTACTACTACTACTACTACTACTACTACTACTACTACACTGCTACTACTACGGATGATGGTCGGGAGACAGGAGGGGGAACATCTTGCCGATGGAGTGGCAGAAGTCTAATTTGGGTTTCGGGCAAGATTGCTGGTAATTCATACCGCTCTACTAGACGGGCAAGAGCGGATTTCGGGTTCCGGGATTCGGATTTTACGAGCAGGGTCGTGGATTGAAGGATGAGGATGTACAGGTTGGGGCTTTCCTAGGTGTCGTGCATGCTGAATCAAAAATTGTCTTGCCTTGGGGTTGTGGGAGAAGTGTCCCGATGCCTCTTGCACTAGCAGATTCCTATTTTACAGGTACTAGATTTTCCACCCAGTAACATGCGCAACTTCAATCCGAACCACTAAACTCGTCAGAAGGATCGAACCCTTGAAGAACCTACTCACAACCCCCACCTGTAGACTAGCTTTTCCGGGTTCCTTACTATGGTTTCTATACATAAATAGAAACACGGGGAGAGAGAGAGAGAGAGAGAGAGAGTTCCTTAAAAAGGTAAGTCTTTCGGGCCACCAAAAGGCCCTAAAATCTCTCCAAGGCGGGCCTCCCTCGAGGCGGTTTCTTCGGCGCGACGGGAGACCCTCCGAAGGAGGGTGTCAAACAGACCCAGCCAGAAGCTCTAAGGCCCTCAAGTGAGGATTGTACCTTGATTTGAGCCTTTTTCAGAAGTATACTGGGTTGTGCTTTAAACCCTTTGAAAACTATTTCTGAATAGGTTCCCTTTATACAAATAAGGGAAGTAAAGATTATCCCAAAGCTTATAGATGTATCCTGAATTGAACCTTAGTTGCGGAGCTTGCTGCTATCAAGAACCTTATCTCGAACTAATCTAAGGGTCTTGCAAGCTGTGGCTACCTGGGTTCCAAGATTTCCGGATCCTTATAAGATGGATGTCGCTTACCAGACCCCCTGGAGGATCCAAAAAGTAGATCCCTTAATGGGGGTTCCTATCAAGTACCCTTAGCAGTAGAGGGGCCCCAAATTAGGGCATCTACTTTCTAGATCCTCCCGGGGGTCTGGGTTTAAGGGGTAACGAGTTGGAGAAGGCAGGTTCTTAGAAGGTGAGGGTGCCTTCTGCAGGGGTCCGGTTGTGCGAGGATCCCCCTGTCTTATGGGGTCGCTGTGAGGGTTAGGGTTTAGGGTTTAGGGTTCAGGGTTCAGGGTTTAGGGTTAGGGTTTAGAGTTTAGGGTTTAGGGTTTGTATCAATGTGGGGTTCTTGAAGTTTGGGGCTGTCAGTATGTCTTTGCAGGTGCTACAGGGTTTCCGAATCCTTCAGAAAGGTTCCAGGGGTTCTCGAAAGTAGGGGTCCGTATTTGGCATTGGAGCTCGTGTAAAATGAGTCTGAAGCCCGATACGACCCTATGAAACCACATAAAACCCAGTGAAACCCTGCAACACCCCCAAAGCACACCTTAAAGACCCCTGTAAAACCCCTATGCCTTCTTACCAGAGACCTTTACAAGGGTTCTTCTTCGAATCCTGTGGCTGGGGTTTAGGTCAAAGCTCAGGGTTTAGGGCTATGCACAAACCCTGGGTACTTAAACTCCAGACCCAACTCAAGCCTAAACCCGCCCAACAAACACCGAAAAACCTTGAGAATAAATCCGACCAGACCCTAAACTTAACCCCAAACCCCCAACCCCAAACCCTAAACCCCCAACCCCAAACCCTAAACAACCCCAAACCCTAAACCGCAATCAAAAAACACCCAACGAGCTGAGCCTTGCAGCCGGACCTTCTCTCGCTGCTGCGCGCTGGGGAGCGGGGCCGACAAAGGCACCTGGGATGCTCGAACTTGGAGGATCATGGGACTTAGTGATTAGGGTTATGAATAGGGTCGCTATAGTTGCAATTCCTTGTAAGCCCAATTACGAACTTATAACCTTGCTTACTAAGCCCCCTTATCCTCCAAGTCGGAGATCTAGAAACTCTCAAGATGGAAACACCTGAACTAGGCTGACCTATTCTCTACAAGTGCTGCCACGGACGACATGTTGTCAAAGCCTCGAAGCCAAACTCGCAAAGTTTGCGGGCAACGTACAAGATGTATGAAGGTATAGTTGGAAAAGGGTAAGGGTTGAAAATCGCGCGTGCCAGCGTTCGAAATCGTAGGCCTGGTAGATGCAGGAAAACCGAGCAAGACCTTCAAGCAAATCAGTCAAGAAACCAAACGGAAACTACACGCCCAACGCCATCAGACTGCGACTGCTGCTGCTGCCACTACTGCTACCACTGCTACTGAGTACTGCCCCTGCCCCTGCAACTGCAGCATCGACGACGCTGGCAGTGGTGCCGGTACTGACAGCTACTCTGAAAAAGATGCAGTCAGTCGAGCTACAGCCGACCAGCAGCAGCGCGGCCAGAAACCCCGGCCAGCAACGGCTTCGGCGAAGCGGGGTCATGGCTCTTAAGCAGGTGTTCTTTACGTGTGCAGCTACAGGGGGGTACATGAGGCCTTTACGCTGTGTTATTTGGTTCTCGTACGGTTGTACAACATTTAGGGCGTATGGCCTGGGGAGCTTGCGGCTTGGGGGCTCTAGGTCCAGGGGTTAGGGCTTACGGTCTGTAGCC